CCGCGCGCGCGCAACAACGCGTTCGGCATCGATGAAGGATTATTCGTGCGCTCGTCCGCGTCGACGTCGACGCGAACGACGCGCGAGACGACGTCGTGGGCCACGGATGCGTGGACGGTGGACGCCGCCGCCACCGCGCGCGGGGTGGACGCCTCGGCACGCGCGTGGGCGTCGCGCGAGGCGATCGGGACGAACGCGAGGGCGCGGCGGCGGAGCGGGCGTACGGGGAATTCGTGCGCGAGGCGAGACGGTGGACGTCGTACGATCCGGAGTCGCCGAACGGGCAGAGACCGCCGTGGGAGGAGTCGCTGGAGACGGCGATTCGCGAGGGACCGTGGCCGTGTTGGGACTCGAACATCCCGGAGAGCGATTTCGTGGATGAACCGACGTTTACCTCGTTCGCGAGCGCGCCGGAGAAGTATGATCCGTTTAAGGAGCGAGTGATGGCGCACAAGGCGAGAGTGCGAAGGGAGAATGTGGAGAAGATGAAGAAGACGCGAGAGGAGGTCAAGGCGCAGCGCTTCATGTCCTTGGCCGAGGACGTCAGGCTGAAGAATAAGCCGGAGGACGACGAGAGCGCGTGGGATCACGAGAAGATTGTCGATTTAATCAATTTCCCCGATGATATTCGGGCGAAGATGATGAACTGTAGCGTGGAGATATATGACCCACGCGTGCCGTACGACTTTTCCGGCATGGGCGCGCCGCCGCCGACGACGGAGGAATTTTTGGAGTCGATCGGCCGGTTGCAGCCGGAGGGAGAGTCCGATCTCGATCGCGTGGCAAAGATCGCTGCCAAGTACGGGTCCAAGGTTCCCGAACTCGTCGAGGAGGATCCCGCGGCGATTCTCCAGACTCGCTCGGACTACGAGCTGCAGAGCGCAATGGACATCGGCGACGACGGGGAAATCGCTTCGGAAGAAATTTCCGATCTCGTCGACAGCGGAGACGACTGATCTGGCGCGCGCGCGGGATAGCCTTATTAGCTACGACAATGTTACAACATTTCACTCTAGGAATTTTCACTTAAGCGCTACCATCGCTTTCCTTCGAGCGTCGGCGTACGTCTTACAGAGTTCGCCTCGAGGAGAGTAAAAGACGGCGTCGACGATGGAGGAGCCTTCTCTCGAGCGCAGCTCCACCTCCCATCCGGGCTCATACGTGTCTATGTCTGCGAATCGTTCCTTGCGACTCGCGTACTCCTCTGGAAGCTCGCTGATCGGCCCTCTCGGAACGAGTATGTTTGCGTCGCTCGAGCTGAGCGTCTCCACCTGCTCCGATCGACGCACCTTCGGCACCACGACTTGGGTCGCCGGCCGGCTAATTTCTATTTTCGCTAACGCCTCCTCCGCCTTCTCCATCGCCGTCTGCTTAGCCACGGTCGCTCTCAGCGTGCCTTCGTTGAAAGAGCCCGCCGTCGACGCCTGCTCCATCACCGCGAGCGTCACCACCTCGAGCCGTCCCTTGGCGTCCTTGCACAGCTTGTCGAGCGGGCGATACGTCGACGGGTCCATCGTGAACGTCGCGCTCGCTTCGCTCGCGGTGCGTTCGCTCGACTCGATTGTCCCATTATTTTCCCTCACAAAATCCATCAAGACCTCCTCCTTCGCGATCGGAACCGACGCCGAGAACCGCATCTCTGCGCGCCGAATTGGAAAAATTGTCTGCAACTTTGGAAGCGCCTCCAACGCCTGCTGCTTCGCACTTCTCTTCGGATCGATCGAGAAGTGTATGTCCCGCAGCGCGCTCTCAATCATCCCCGGCGGATACGGCATCTTCGTCGAGGGATTCACGCACTTCTCCGCGAGCGTCGTCACGCAATCCCGAAACGCGCTCTCCGCCTCCGCCTTGCGTTCGAGTTCGCTCACTTGTAATTCACCCCTCTCCAGGATCACCACGCATATCTTTCCTCGATCGCAGTGCCCGAACGCTTTCACGAGTTCATCGTCCCTCGCCACCACGCCCTTGCTCACGTTCGCGTACACCTCGGTCGTCTGCAGGACGTTATCCACGTCCTTTTCGTGCCCTCGACGAAAGCTCAGCACGGTGTTCTTGTAACACGCGATCTCAAACCTCGCGCCGTGCGTCTTCAATCGCACCACGGCGACGTTGGTGAGCTTCTTGATTCCCACCGGTTGGAACATGGCCGACAACGCGCGCGCGCGGACGTGTGCGGCGCCGGGGCTACGTTCGCGTCGTCTCGGCTTTCGTCGCGCCGCGTCGCGAGCGATCGCCGCACATCGCGACGGTGACGCCGGACGGGATCGATCGAACGCGCGCTCGACGTCTCAAGAGACGACGCGTCGTTCGCCGATCGAGGCGTCGATCGCGCGCTCGAACGTCACCGACGGGTGCGAGGGACGATTGAAGGGAATTCAATCAATCAATCAATCGACACCGCTCGAGGTTCTCGTGGAATCATCATGCTGCCGTTGACGCTCCTGAAGACGTCGTGCGGACGACCGATGCTCGTGGAGCTGAAGAACGGCGAGACGTATAACGGAACGCTGGCGTCGTGCGATACGTGGATGAACGTGCACCTGAAAGAGGTGATCTGCACCTCCAAGGATGGCGATCGGTTCTGGCGCATGGAGGAGTGTTACGTGAGAGGGAACACGATCAAGTACGTGTGCGTCCCGGATGAGGTGTTGGATAAGGTGAGAGAGGAGATGAAGAATCGACCGCAGCGAGAGTCGAGGGGCGACGGCGGTAGGGGCGGGAGAGGCGGCCGCGGCCGCGGCGGGAGAGGCGGCCGCGGGCGCGGGAGAGGCGACGCGGACGAGTCCTAAACTCCGTCCCTCGCGTCTCTAGGTAGTGTAGTGTTATCGTACCCGTTCATTTCCATCGTTTCACCTCGATTGTCCAGCTCGTTCCGCGCGCTCGTTCTCCGACGCTCGAACGGGCGCGCGGGTTCCACGTCGCGCGCGCGCGCTGGGGTTTAGGCGTCCGAGCCCCCGACCCATCCGTCCCACGCTCTCGCGGGCGTCTCCCACACGTCGTCCCTCCCTCGCTCGGCGTCGATCGCGATGGAGCTCCTGCTCGAGTTCGACGACCTCGTCCACGCCGAGGACGATCGCGACGTCGCCGCGGACGACGACGACGGCCGAGCCTCGAGCTCGTTGGGCTTCGTCAACGGTGTCCGACGCTCCTTCAGCGGACGCGTCTCCCGCCCGAGCGCGTCGTCGATGGGCGCCGATGACGTGGGGGAGCTCATGACGATAGCGGCGACGAGCGCGGACCACGAGCGACGAGAACGGGCGATTCGCGAGCTCAGGGAGGTGGTGCGAGAGGCTGATGAGGAGACGCTGTCGCTCGTCGTGGTCGAGTTGTTGGAGCGCGCGGGGGGGGACGGGGCGACCGCGGCGGCGGGGAGCGAGTTCAAGGGCGAGCGAGAGGAACTCGAGGAACGTGGGGTAGATATTCCACACGTGCGGTGCGAGGCGGTGTACGTAGCGCTGGCGGTGGAGTTGGTGCGATCGATGCCAGAGACAAAGCTCGGGCCGAGTCATCGAGGGACGCTCATGCGAGGCGTATCGCACGCACTGCACTCGTACGCAGGAAATTGCAGAACGACGTGCGAGGTTGGAATTGTTCGAGGTCTTCTACGGGCGTTGGACGCGTTATTGAGGATGAATGAGGGAGGGAGAGCGAATGGAGACATTGACATGGTCGCCGAGTGCGTGCGGCGTGCGACTGCGTTCTCCACCTCTCCGCTCGATCTGCGAGCTTGGTTGGAAATCGCGGCAGCTAGCGCACCCGAGGCGAGAATATTCTTACTAGATCAACTGAATATGACGCTTCAGTCCAGATTTAGCGGTGGTCCGTCAGAGTTGTTCCTAATGGACGGGGAGGCGAGTGGCATACTCGGTTCGGCGCAACCGAAATGGCCTTTCACAGAAGGATTGGCGTTCGTGACGTGGGTGTATTTAGAGAGCGTTTCGGATTCGGAAACAACAGCTGCATCCGCGGCACTGTATGCCGCCGCCGCCTCGGCGTCACAGCTGGTGGAAGCTTCTCCACTCACTACTGCGGCCGTCGCCGCGGCCGCTGCGGGCGAAGCAGAGGTACACATGCCTCGACTGTTCAGTTTTCTTTCGGCAGAGGGACAAGGCGTGGAGTGTTACTTCCACAAAGGATTCTTGATTTTGGAGACTAATGGCGTCAAAGAATCGAGAATGACGCTTCCTTTCACCTACAAGTTCCCTCTTAAGCGATGGTTCTGTATAGGAATTGAGCACAAACCAGCGAGCGTTCGAACGGGTGGGGCGGAGACTCGACTATATGTGAATGGGATTTGTGTCGAGACTCACAAATTCGACCTACCAAAGATGAACAAGCCGCTCGGATTTTGTTGCATAGGGACCAATCCTCCAGCTGCCATGGCAGGCCTGCAGCGGAAACGACGTCAGTGCGCTCTATTTGCAGCCCTTGGGCCCGTGTACATTTTCAAACAAGCACTCGGCGTACAGGCGATGAGAGCACTCTCGGCTCGAGGCGGATCATTCGTACCAAATTTCTCTTCAAAAGACGAGAAAATGACCGATAAAGCTACTGGAAGCGTATTAAATGCTGAAGATCATCTTCTAGATAGGATTTTAGCTCCGACCGTGCTTCAAGTGATCCACCCTCGTATGGCAAGCAAAAACTTCGTCGTAGACATTTCTCCTAGTGGTATTCTGGTGGAATCCAAGGCTGTGCTGCTTGGTGGAACGAGCGTTGCATCTCGTTACCTGATACGAGATTCAATTTGGGCTGCACACGAGAGTGGGCCTGGGCTGATCCTACCTTTTGCATGTCCGTCGGTCAGTTCCAGGGGCCTGGAACCTGAAATGGCTGACGGTGATGTGGGCAGTGCGGCGTTGTCCATCCGGTCTGTGCTTGGAATCATCGCTGGAGCATGTGAAAATCATCCGCAGAACATTAAATCGATGGAAGAGAACAACGTGCCGCAACTGATTGCACACGTCTTGCCGTTTGCCATGGATGCTCTACGGAACAAGCTCGAGGGGGCTGAGCTCGAAGACGAGGAAGAAGCCATCGTCGATGCTCTAGAATATCTCTTGACCGTGAGCGCGAAGGAGCTATCGAAGCAGGTTGTGTCGGCACTCATTCTAAATTTTAAACCATGGGCAGGGTCGGGCTCTCGACTTATTGGTCGTATTCTGAGCGTCTGTTCTTCTCTATGCAACACTAGCCCAGACCTGATGCATGAACTGTCCGCACTACAAGTCCTTCTGGATAACGGGCGTCGATGGCTTTCGCCTCCGACGTCGATAACGGGTGGTATACTTCACAACAAATCCGCTAAATCCGTGATGGATGATCGAGGAGTTCTAAGAATCTCCGAGAGAGAGTCATTGGGATTGATCGATGACTTACTCGTCTCCGTCAATTTACTTGCAAATACAAGCGAAAGCATAGACGCCAAGGTTGACATCATCATCGATTTTCTGGCCGAGTGTCCTTGTCCACACATGCTTGCGGCTACAGTCAAGCTTGTTCATTCGATAATCGTTTCTCCGAAGGCGGATAGAGCGAACGAGTTTCTATTCGCGTTCACTTCAAAGGGAGGTGTGGAGGTGTGCATGGGTCTCGTGCGCGCCCTTTCCCTACGTGGTAAATTTGACCACGAACTTCAAGGAGCACAGAGTCTGTTCGCCGCTTGTTTGAGATTATTTGGCTACTTGTTGGAGACTGGATGCGTGAGTGCGAATAAGACGACCGAAGTAGGTGGCAGTAAAAAGGTGACAAAGGGAAGCATTGAAAGAGCGACGCGGTACGCATTCACAAAGGGTTCTCAAAAACTCCTCACGCCTGAGGTTTACGAGGCGATTATGAAGTCCTCCATCTCAATCAACCTGGCTAATATCAACATGACAGAGCCAGTACGCTTGATCAGCGGTGGTATACTTGGATCGATGCTCTCGATTCTGTCTCAGTGCGATGATCAAGTGACCATTCGGGCCCTTGATGACACCATGCTGATTGCGTGCGCTTACGCTGACAACCGGAACCTTCTGCTGTCTCTGCCGGAATTCCCTGGATGGCTGGTACATATTCTTGTGGGCTCTAAAAGCTCGAAGGTCTCCACCACTGCGAATGATCTGCTTCTAGTGCTTCTCCAGCACTCGATGCGTTTACGAGACGGTTGGCGAGTGCTCGAAACGGTGATGGAGGGAGTAAAACGCATCTCCAGCGACGATCGAAAAGTACGAGTCAAAGTTCAGCATGCAATTTTCATGGGCCTCACAGCCTTTATGGTCAATGAGTTGCGAGCCATCAGCTCGTCAGAGGTCACGAGGGCGAAGAAGATGAAGGATGACTTGCATGAGAACGGTAGTGTGACGGTGGAAAATGTCATCGCATTGCTTCATATGGTTGAAAACCATTTGAGACTGATGAGCTCTGTTTCGTCATCCTCAGTGGATAATTCGTACGACTTTGATCAAGTTGCAGACGCTCTCGTTTCGTACGGGGGGTATGCGACGGACTCAATGAACGGGTGGATAAGTCGTTGTCGTATGATGGATGGACTTGGTCATTTAACCATGTCGGGCCCAAGTAAAGGAACAGACGACTCACTAGAGTTGTTACATTTGACGCAGCAAACAGTTAACTCCGTGGTTGATGCTCGCAACAACGCTCCATTGCACTCTCGGCTGCTTGAGGACGATGAATTGATACATTTACTCCTCCGCTTGACTCTGGCATATTTCCGTGAAGCTGTTCTTCCAATGGAGGACGACAAGGTTGATACCAGCCTTCCTCTTATGCCGGCACACATTGTGAACACACTGACTTCACTGACTTCGGGTAACTCGTCCATATCAGATGCGATCTTGTTTGAAGCCAAGCAGCTGTGGGGTGTAACTCGTTCTAGCGAAACCGGTGTTCAAGTGGCAGTGCTACACCATCTGCTGGGTCCATTTTTACACTCCGCTGTGGCGCGCAAGAACGCTCTTCTTGCACCTGGTGCTATTGCTCTTCTGTTAGACGAGGTGTGGCGTTATAAACGTGGGAATAGACGCAATATTTTCTACATTAAGGCGATCACCACCTACTTGATTGCGCTGGTTGCTCGGTGGCGAGAAGTGCTCGTCTCAGACGTGAACGATGATATTTCTACAAAACTGCGGACGCTTGCATCAAGTTCACTGGACACAGCATTGTCGTTGATCTGTTCATCGGAATGGGTTAAGGTACTTATGTCTTCCACTGTGAAAGAATCGCTCGTTTGCATTGTCAACTCAACGCCCGTATGCGAAATGCGCAACAGTGTAATCGCGGCTCTGGGTCCGAACTCAACAGAATCAAGATTGAACGCGCAGCACGCCGTTCAGTGCACGAGAGCAGAAACGTTTAGAAAGTTTTTGAAAACTTGGGAGGGCGAGTACGTGAACATATCGATGTCTTCAAAGTGGCTCGCCGCTCTATCGAAGGAGGCTTCGAGGCGAACGCTGTCCATTGCTGCTGAAGGTGAGAGAGCCAAGGAGGTCGCTAAGAATTGGGAAAAATACATGAGGAGTCTACAAGTACTCAACTGCCTTTTTCTTAAAGTGATGGAGGATGGAGACGACGCTCGTCTCAGCATTGACACATCTGAAAGTGGAAGACGGCGTCGCTATCGATTGTCACGCGTGGCCAGGAGTTCCATGCAGAGACCGGCGCACTTAGCACCTATTGACTCGGAGGCGATAGAGATTAAGCTACCAGTTCGCCAAAATCGTGACGTTTCAGATGATGAAGATGACTACGTTTTGAGCCCGCAAAAGTCAGTGAATGCAGAAGAATTGAGCGAGGTGATGGCTGCGACTGCCGCCCTGGCTGTCGCACAAAACCGGGACAAAACTGAGACAAAGAAGTCTAATCATGAATGCTCAGCGACGATGGTGACACCACTCGAGCTTTACGCCGGTAAATTTCTCATATCTGATCAAGCGTTTATCTTCCGTACTGATGATGGCTCTCGCTTTTGGTCGTGGCCTCTAGAACATCTGCATCAAGTTCAAAGTCGAAGGTACTTGCTTCGACGAAGCGCTCTTGAATTTTTCATGCTTGACCGTATGACATACTTCATCGATTTCGGCACTGCAGAGCAAAGACGGCAGGTTTTCCGCGTTTTGATCAAGCTCAAGCCAAAAAAATTTGTGCCTCTGTACCTTGAGACGAGCAAACCAGAGGCTCTGCTGCGCAAGAGTGACATAACTTCACGATGGATTCGCCGTGAGATTTCCAATTTTGATTATCTCATGGCTCTCAACACTCTCGCCGGAAGAAGTTACCAGGACATCACGCAGTATCCCGTGTTCCCCTGGGTCATCAGTGATTACACTTCGGAGTCTTTGGATTTGAACAATCCCGAAGTGTATCGAGACTTACGGAAACCGATTGGAGCGCTCAATCCGAGTCGTCTCACGCGAATCAAAGAGCGCTATGACTTCTTTGATGACCCTGAGATTCCGAAATTCCACTACGGAAGTCACTATAGCTCTTCTGGCACGGTTTTATTCTACTTGTTACGAATTGATCCATTCACGACGCTGGCTTACGAGCTACAAGGTGGTAAATTTGATCACGCAGATAGATTGTTCCATAGCGTCGCGTCGACGTGGCAGAGCTGTTTCACTGATATGAGTGATGTGAAGGAACTCGTGCCCGAATTCTTTTACCTTCCGGAAATGTTCAAAAATGTCAACAACATCGAGTTTGGTGTGACGCAGTCAGGTGATAAAGTCGACGCCGTCGTGCTTCCACCCTGGGCAAGTTCGCCAGAGGAGTTCGTTGCGAAACAGCGGGAGGCGCTAGAGAGTGAACACGTGAGCAAGAATCTCCATCACTGGATCGATCTCATCTTCGGATACAAACAGCGAGGCAAAGCGGCTGAATCCGCACACAACGTTTTTTATTACATGACGTACGAAGGCGCAGTCGACGTCGAGTCCATCCAAGATCCCGTCCTCCTCAAGGCTACACAAGATCAAATTTCGTGCTTTGGGCAGACGCCTTCCCAGCTTCTCACCATTCCGCACCCTGGCAGGCAACGCGCCGCCGACTCCGTCACAGGTAGCCATTGGTTGTTCGCAAACGGCGGGAATGTGAAGAGTTATCCTCTCAGCGTTCCAACTTACACCGATAATCGAATTGCCTTTATGGATGTGCTCCCTACTGGTCAAATGATTGTTGTGTCTCCTACTTTAGATGCAAAGTTACATCGTTTCATGCCAGGTGTGCCCAGCGGTGCAGGCTTGCCATTCACTTTCGAGCCGATCAAAGAACAAAGCACCCTTGGTGCGTTCATGGGTACGATTCGTCGACGAGCCGGCTTGAATGACGTCACAGGAGTTGCGACGTTTGCAACAAAACTCGATCCCAAGTTGAGCAACTCAGGTTCCAGACCATTACTTGCCATGCTGCCAAGCGGCCGCCACGTTGTTGTCTCCGGCCATGCAGATGATTCTCTAAAAATTTTCAACTGCGAGAACGGTTTGATGGAGAGTCAATCGACGGGGCATCGCACGCAAATCACGTCAATGTCACTCTCTTCCGATGGAAGAGTGCTCGCAACGGGCTCTGTTGATGGTACGATCGGGATTTGGGTCATCAATCTACCAACAGAACGAGTGACGATAGGTGAAAATTTACGTGAAACGATCGCCCCAATTATCAGAGTCGATGTCAACTCCATTTTCAACGATGGAACGACTGTTGCTAATGTTATAAATCCTGCGAAGGATGATGGCGCTCCATTGGCAAAGATGGGATTGAGTGGTCCAATCCGGTTACTGAGAGGACATGGCGAGTTAATTTCCTCGCTTGATGTTAACACAAACCTCGACTTACTTGTAGCCGTCAGTGCAACAGCCGGAGCTTCGTTTCATTCGGTCATCGTCAGTAAGACTCTCAGAGTTGTACCCGAACTACGAGGTACGCTTTGTGCCATTTCTGATGAAGGGTACGTGATAATTTGGTGCGAGACAGAACATTCCCTAACGCTTACAACTGTAAATGGGGAAATCATGTCTTCAATCTCTTTGATTGGCTCGTATCCGAAATTCACCACTTTATTGGTGAGTAAAGATGGATATCATCTTGTGGCTGGCACAGTTGCACAAGAAGGGAAAGTGACCGTCTTGTCATTTGAGTTACCAGCGTTGTATCCTGGTCGCAGCTGGGACTTTGATTCGTCCTCTGACATAAGCCAAATAAAATTTACTGCTGAAAATACTTCTCTCGTCGTTTCCACGAGTGACGGAGACATCTGGGTCGTGACCGACCCAAGCATAGCAGCACAAAGCTTAGAAAGTCTTCTTCAAGCGGGCTGGGCCTCGATTGTTTAGATAGTTATTTAGAAGTGTAGTCAACAGTAGTATTACAAACAGACGCATCACGCGGCTGCAGTGCCAAACGTTTTATGGGCGGGTAGCACCACACTTTCATGAATCGCTAGCGCGTAGTCTTGCGCAATGTGCGGACTAGAGTGCATGAGCTCGAGGTAGCCGGCGGTGTGGCTCACTTCACCCCAGTGCTGCTGACCAACTTTCACTGCCGCCTTCCAAAGAGAGGCACTGCGCGACACAGCCGCAACCTTTGCCGCTGCTGCCGCCGTCTCAACGCTAACCTCTTTCTTTAGACGGTCGATGCAGTAAATTGGCAGTCTGTCAATCCTCAACCGAGTCGCCAACTCGAACAAGTCGAGAAGCATTTCGACCGGTGGGTGCACTGGAATTTGATATATCCAGCGCAGAGCGGCCAAGACAACTGGGACACTTGTGTCGGTGAGAACGATTCTTTTCCTGGCATCGTGTGTTGGCGAAACTACACGACGCACGGTGAAGGCGATAATCACCATGATTGTGTACAGAGCCCTCAAGAGGATCGAGAGAGGTGTTCCCATGAGTCCGTAATATTGCTGTGTGATTTTGATCGCGTCCGGTTTTCGTTCAAGAGCCGCACTCATCGGAGATTTCTCCATGATCTGCTTGAGATAGGAAGATCCCTCTCTCACTATATCAGAGTGGGCGAAAATTTTACAGTCGTCCACGATGAACTCAAGGTCACCCGAATCATGTGACCCTTTGATGGGAACGTGGAGTGTACCACCCAATAACCCACCTTTGTCGCCATAAACACCGCGCTCGTTGAGCTGTGTGAGAATGTTCTTTTCAAGAACTGTCTCGGTCTCCTCCAGCTCCTGCTCCTTTTGCGCCTCTTCTGCAACCTCCTCTTCCTTGCGCTCCGTCTCCATTTCGTTGAAGCGTGATTGTTTGGCTTCAGCGTCCTCATCACCGACGGGAAACGGAAGATACGCCTCGAGATTGATCGCTATGCACACTCCAGTTTCCTCGGATATGCCGCGAATGTTCGAATCGCGAGAACCATGCAAGATAACCAGGGCGCCATCGACGCAGGCACCACTGTGGCTGAAGCGCGGGTCGGTGTCAGATTCAGGGTTGAGGCGCGCCCACTGCGCGGTGGGAAAGTGAAAAGCGTACGTGTCACCGAGGACACCGTCTTGCAGTAACACACGACCTCCGTGAATGATCCAGTTGTTCCCAAGAGTGCACGATAAGTAGGAAGTACGAGGCGTCGGCACTTGTCCGGCTCTTGCCACCATCGTCCAGCGCGGGGTTCCCTGCACCGACAATTGAAGCACCCAAACGACCATCTCGATGGATGTCTCGCTCGGGCTTAGAACGTACAGCACGGAGTCTCGTGCCGCCATCGCGCACGATTCACCGCCCACGGGATGCTTCCACTGCGTGTCGATTGTCAGCCACTCAGACTCCGCCAAGTCGAACCCGTACAAGTCGTTGTAAACGACGACGTCCTGCCCCGGCTGTACGTCTTTCCCCCCAAACACGAATAGAACATCGTCCGATATGCAAATGCAGTGTCCCGTGCGCTTGGGCGGTGGATCTCCGATGACGTCCACCAGCGTCCACGTGCACGCCACGAAGTCAAACACCCACAAGTCATTCAGGCTCCCAAACTGACCCTGACCGCCGAACACGTACAAGGAGTCCCCTCGAACGACCGCGGCGTGCCCGTACCTTCCCGGAGGAACCCCGATCTCGGGATCGATCGCCGTCGCGGTGACTTCATAGCACGCGCCTCGTCCGCTCCACCGGTAGACGCTCGTGACGAATTCCCCCTCGTGCGCCAACCCGCCGTACGTGTACACCTCCTGCTCCCACACGAACGCGACGGAGCCGACAAAGTACCCGTAATCATCATCCCTGTCCTCATCCGGATCAGACTGCACCTGTCCGACGTCGATCGCGCCCGCGTCTTCGCCGAACTCGTTCACGTCCTCCGTCCCCGCGCGATCGTTGAAATCTTCCTCGAACGCGTCCACGTCTCGGTCGCTCTCCCGTCTCGGGAACGCCTCCATCGTCGTCGGCGATCTCGTTCGCGTGCGCGCGCGGACGTTCGTCCTCGTCACCGCGCGCGTCGCTCGATGCGGACGATCGCCGGCGAGACTCGGACGCAACACCCTTCACTGCACGACGGTACACCTCGCGACGGGACACCTCGACGCGCGCGAGCGACGCGGGCGCGACGACGCGGGACGAACGACGGGAGCGCGGACGCGGAGGCGTCGTTCGTGGGCATGGTGTTCGCACGCGCGCGCGGCGACGCGGCGGAGAGCCAACCATTGGTTCGCCCGAGCGCGAACGAGGACGTCGAGCGCGGACGAGGGCGGGATCGAGAGAGCGCTCGTTTGTGTCGATCGAGGACGGCGAAGTATGGCGCGGCGTTCGTCGCGCTCGCGGCGCTGGCGGGGGTGATGATCGCGGGGGATAAGTTTCCGAAGGAGTTGATCCCGGGTTCGCTCGCGCAGCGCGTCGCGAGGGCGATGCGAGATCGGGCGAAGGACGAGGGCACGCGATCACAGCTGAGCGCGACGAACGTGTTCGATGATTTTTGTCGAGCAATCGACGTGAAGGGGGCGTGTGAGGACGTAACGAGGGCGAGAGATGGGTTGAAGACAGTGAGCGATGAAACGTTCGAGGCGTTGGTGCACAAGGCAAGGGAGATGAAGAAGGACGAGAGCAAGCTGGACGGGGCGGCGTTTCTGGGAGCGTATGACGTCGTCATGACAGGTGTCGTGCACGAGCCTCGAACGCTGGTGAGGCTCGTCCCTGAGTGGTCGACGGCGGGACTCGGCTTCAGTGATACGAGCCCGAGTGACGACATCGCGGCCAAAAAGCTAAGCGTGTTCGTCGCGGACATCTTTCCCGTGCTTCGAAGGTATCCGGACTGGGACATGTCGGATACGAACGCGATCCGATACCTCACCAGGCACATTAACGAAGCCACGCTGAGCGGCGACGAGAGCAAGTGGGGAGACTTCATGCTTTCTGGCGCAACGGCATCGCTCTCCAAGAGTGAGAAGGGGCAAAAAGATAGCTTCGGCGTTCTGCCGCCAAAGGAACTTGACCGCAAGCTCACGCTTTCACCATACGCTTCGTCGGACGAAACGCACGGCGCTCACCCATTCGATCGAAAGGCCGTTGGTCTGGGAAGGGTGAAGTGGGATGCTCTGAAACATAGTCTACCTCGCCACTTTGACGCTCGTGACGAGTATCCCAAGTGCGCGCGGCTTATAGGAACAGTGAGAGATCAAGGCAAATGTGGGTCTTGCTGGGCCGTGGCGGCGACGGAGATCATGAACGATCGTCTGTGCATCTCAAGCGGTGGTAAAGAAGTGGCTGAGCTCTCGCCGCAGTTTGCGCTCTCCTGTTACAATAGCGGTGCTGGTTGCGAAGGCGGCGACGTAGTCGATACTTTAACGCTCGCGCTTGCGAAAGGTGTTCCGCACGGCGGTATGTTAGACAAGGGTGCGTGTTTACCGTACCAGTTCGAGCCGTGCGACCACCCTTGCATGATTCCTGGAACTTCGCCGGAAGCGTGCCCGGCGACGTGCGCGGATGGCTCAAAGTTTCAGCTCGTGTACCCGAAGAATCTCCCTTACACGTGCCCGCCGGATGATATCGCGTGCATTGCGAAGGAAATCAAAAATCGCGGCTCCGTTGCGGTAACTTTCGGACCCGTGCACGAGGACTTTTACGGACATAAGGAGGGTGTCTACAAGGTAACAGAATCGTCCGGAAGAGAGTTGGGCAATCACGCCACGAAACTCATCGGTTGGGGTGTCACGCAGGAAGGTGATCACTACTGGATCATGGTGAACTCTTGGCGAAACTGGGGCGAAAATGGTGTCGGCAAGGTTCGCATGGGTGAGATGAGCATAGAGTCCGGCGTCGCGGCTGTAGAAATGTGAGCGATCAAGGAGGCTCGCGAGTCGAGGCGATAGATTTTTTAGTGTATAGAGCTAATCATTAAAGAAGCAACAACCTTCCCTAATCTCCCTAAGAAACGCTTAGTGCGCAACGAAAGCCTTGCCACCCTTCGACCCGCTCGGGATGACCTTGAGCGTGTTGAATCGAACAGTCTTGGACAACGGGCGGCACTGGCCGACGACAACCTTGTCGCCTTCGTTGCAGCGGAAGCACGGGGAAAGGTGCGCGGAGATGTTGGTGTGGCGCTTTTCGTAACGCTGGTACTTCCTGATGAAGTGCAAGTAGTCCATGCGCATGACGATAGTGCGGTTCATCTTCGCAGACTTGACGACGCCAGTCAAAATGCGGCCGCGAATCGACACATTACCGGTGAACGGGCACTTCTTGTCGATGTACGTCCCTGTGTGTGTGATAACGAGCGAATTTGTCAGTCTGTCGTCCGTTGAGCCTCTTCTGAGGTTTCGCGCGTCGCGCATGTTTTCCCAAGCCCTAGAATGACCTCAACCGCGTCATCGTCGCCTCGCTCGTTCGTCGCACGCACCTTCGATCGCTTCGCGCGGGGTCTTGAAACCGAGACCAACATTCTTGTAGTAGCGTTCACCCTTCTTCGTGTGGCTACCGAACCTACGTGTAAAGAAAAACGTCACGACGAGTCAGTTTCGGCGGCTCCTCGCGATCGCGCCATCGCCACGACGTCTCATCTCTCTCGCACGCGCGCGTCCACGCGTCCGAGATCGCAGCGAATACGACGCGATAAAATCAAATACGCACCCTCGCTGCACCCCGAGTTGCTTCTGAAACGCGCGCTCGTGCTGCGGATGCGAAAGATCGTTCGTCAGTGTTAGGTTCAACGCACGGCGACGAGCGATGCGATGCGCGCGCGTTCGAGCCGCGCGCGCGCGTCCCCCGCCCACGCGCGCGACGATCGCGCCAGATCGTCCGTCGTACCTGATCAGCCATTGTGCGCCGTGATGTACCGCGCGCGACGCGTAGAGGCGGAGCGAGCGACGCGCGCGCGCGCGTCCACCCCATCGCCGCGATGGTCTCGTTGACACACACGCGGACCTTTTCCACGCGCGCCCCCGCGCGGTGGATGCGACGATCCACGACGACGACGGGAGTCCTCTGGCGAGGAGTGATGACTCAAGATGACGTCCCTCGACGGCACCCACCGACGACGGCGCGTCGAGGCGCGTCGTGACGTCACACCGAGACCCGCGTCGTTCGCGATATGTTCACCGCCGCCGCCACTCGAGTCACCGTCGTCGCGCGCGCGGGAGACGCGCGCGATGCCGAGCGCGCGACGCAGCGCGTCGAGCGACCGGCGTGCGCCAAGGCGCGCGACGAGGGCGAGGATGGGGCTCGCGTGGACATGGCCAAGGCGAAGTGCGTGCACCCGGACCGACCGGTCGCCAAGGCGTGCGGGGACTGCCCGCGACGCAAGTAATCGGTGTCACGTGAACGCATTCGTGTCACGAGACCTCGAGCGGTGAGGGGTGGGCGGCTATTAGCGGAGACGCCAAACTCTGTCACACCAAAGGATTATTTTTTTCGCGTTTGTAATCACAACACTGAAGCGCGGTTTTCATCGTTTCTCGTGCCTTACGCGCGAGACACCAAAGTAGAATGTGATCAGATACACTGGGATGGAGATTGATGCGTAGAGCAGGGACATCCAGCGGTTTCTGTCCTCGAGTGAAAACGTGCGAAGGACCGAATCGCCCGATATCGGGTCACATTCCGTTTGCCTCGTGAAGAAGAGTCTAAGCAATCGTAAAGAGGACTCTGGCAGTGAGATTTGCTCAATAAGTTCGTCTAAGCCTCCGGTGGGTGACCCACAGTGATCGTAGAACTGTCTCGGCGTCCCGTCACCGTTGGTGTACTCGTTGACCATCACCGCGCTCCAGGCCCACTGAATGAAAGAGACGCGATAGAGCCACTGCCACGCGTCGTGAATCGTGCTCGCTCGAATAAAAAAGCCTCCAACTAACATGTTCAACGTGCTGAACATCGGAAGGACACTAGCTGGACCCACGTCGCCTGGGAGCGTAGCCGAAACTGTGCAGCCAATGAGCTGCGCAATGGTAAACGTGACGAAGTTTACCAGGCAGAAAAAGAAGAAAGCTTCTGGCTCGGAATTGAAACCGACGGCCCAGTGCAAAATGGAGGAAAAACTCACCGCGGTGATCACGGTCATCGGTAATTCGCCGATGATCTTTGATGCGATGAAATTGCTTGGACGATAGTACGAGTCGTGAAAATGTCTCGTGTAAAGCTCTCTCTCGAATTTGAGTTCTTCGACGTGGACTTGCGCCATGAACGTTGGAAGTATGATGGCGATGAATGCGATCCCGTTAATGTTCAGAAGTCCGCTCGGCGTGTGCTTCTGTTGATAAAAAAATGCACTCAACAGGCACGCAAGAATGGAATACAGTCCGAGACGGGTAAACCAAAACATTCCATCGCGCCATCGAGGAGCATCCTTGAATCGTAGCATTATTCGTAACTCGGTCAACGAATCATGAGCGTACGGAGAATCTTTTCCCTTTCCATTCGCCGACGATTCGGTGTTGATGGTCATGGCGTTCATTGGTAAATTCAGCGATGTGATCTCCGCCACTTTGGCCAAATTTTCACGACTCAGAGCCGAACTCTGATAGTACGCCGTGCAACCGTGATCCGACACTGAAATCGTGTCGATGAAATATTCAGCAATGTTGAAACCGGGCTCATAGGGGAAACCCTGAGCGACAAAAAACTCCATAGGATTGTGTCCAGCTTTGCCGAAATAGGCGAGTTTCCCATCTTGTAAAAGGCACAGCTTAGTGAAATGCTGGAACACGTGCATCGACGGTTGATGAATCGTGACGATTAAAGTGCGTCCATCTTCGCGATTGAGCCTAGAAAGACTCTTGATAACTTCAGCAGCCATGGTAGAGTCCAAGCCGCTCGTTGGTTCGTCAAGGAACATTGCTCGGGGATTACTCGTGCAGAGCGCAGATGCAACAGCCAGTCGCTTCTGCTCCCCTCCAGAAATACCACGAATGACGTGATTACCAACTTTTGTATCTCGACACTTCGAAAGACCCATCTGATCGATAACGTGCTCCACCATCTCAAACTTTTGCTCGATATCCTCGCGCGACGTGCCAGGAAGCTTTATCATGGCGGCAAAAAGCACGGTCTCGTAAACGGTCGCGGGGCCGAAGAACGCTTCGGTCTGCGGCACGTACGCCGTGTACTTCTTAATCGCCGAAAGTGTAGGCACGACACCATCAAACAGCACTCGCCCATGTATGATTCCCTCTGTTTTCCTCTGACTGATCAAATCGAGAAGAGTCGTTTTCCCCGCACCGCTGGGTCCCATGACCGCTGCCATTGAGCCAGACTCGATGACGCCGCTGACATCGCTCAGGATAGTCTTGAGAGACGTGTTGGAGAGTTTCATTTCGTTTCCCACGCCATCGAGGGCGATGGTGATCCCATTACGTTTCGAAGCAGTCGCTGAGTCACTTCGTTGCCCAGTTTCATCCTCTCCTCTCTTGCCGATTTCCAAATCGTCAACGCGCGCGATGACGACGTCCTCCTCGTCCAAGGTCGTCTCAGAAGTCAAAACTCGAATGATATCGTGCTTTTTGGTTGATTGCGCACCGCCCATCGGAGGCACCGAGTAATGAAGGTCTAAACGCGCGCGCTGCTGTCTCGGGACGACGCGCCGTCGCCTAGAAAGCATCAAGTCACGAATCGGGGCATTCTGACAGAAAAATTGCTATAACCGGGCTAATGAACTACTCAGTGATAGAACGCAATCTCATCTCATCAATCACTTTTTACGCTGCTGCTTCCATTTGAAGTACGTCGTCGTTGTGCCGTCGGGATTCGTCTTTGTAATCTTCGTCTTGTGACCCCTGTCATATGAAATCACTTTCTGCATCGCCATGTCCTCTGTCATACCCTTTAACTTCTTCGCACGCTCATCGTACGCCGTGTACGTCTTGTAAGCGCCCTTTTGCATGCGAGCGAGTTTCTTCATGGAAACCGTAGCCGTCGTTCCGCCGCTCGTGCCGGCGTCACCGGTGTTTCGCAGGCCAACCACTGCATCTTCATCCTCCAGTTGCGACCGACGTGGCCGATTGAACGCGCGTCCGACGAGCTCGCGCTCGGTGTCAAAGTGCTCTGCCGCGTCGAAATTCTTCGCATCCTCCTCCGTGTCCACGAACACAGTGTGCTTACGTTTCGCCGGCGCGCCGATGCTGTGCAGGTTCCGCTTCAACTTCTCCACCCTCTTCGCCTCGACCCCAGCCTTGAGTTGCACGTACTTCACGTCCTGCGTCTTCATCACCCTCAACTCTTCCTCCGTGTACTTATTCTGCTCCGTCGTCCTCGCCACGTGCACGCCGTCCTCCGTCTTCGTCTTTTGCATGGCGAAATAAAACTCATCCGGGTTCCTGTACGCCGCCTTTCGCTTCAGCGCGTTGATCGCATCCTCCTTCTTGTGATAATCCCTCGCTCGCAACACGTAATCCTTCTTCTTCTCCAGCAACCCGTATCGCTTGCGTTCGCTCGGCTGCGCTCGCTCCTTGTGCGTCTTGCGCTTCACCGCGTTTCTCAACGAGCTCGACATCGTCGTCGTCCACCGCGCACCGTCGCTTCGCCCTCGACGCGCGCGCTCGACCGCGCACCCGCGCGCGCGTCGACCCCGCGTTCGCTCGCTCGAGGCGTCGAGGGCGTCACCGGCGCGTCGAACTCTCGCGCCGCCGCCGTTCGACCGGAGCTGCAGTCGACGAGTCATGACCTCGAAACAGCCCAATCACATCCATTCGCCCCACCGCGCGCCGCGCGCGTCGTCGTCCATGGCCGCGCGCGCGGGCGAGGCGCCGCCGAGGACGCGGGCGGACGCCGCGCGCGTGCTCGGACTCTCCGACGCCCCGGGTGTTGCGCTCACGGCGCGCGTCGTGCGAGAGGCGGCGAGACGGCGGGCGATGGAAGCGCACCCGGACCGAGCGACCGGGTCGCGCGCGCGGTTCGCGAGCGTCATGCGGGCGCGGGAGATCTTGTTAGGGAGCGAGACGGGGGCGAGGGCGTCGACGGGGGTCGGCTGGGCGGAGAGCGCGGCGCGGCGAAGGGCGGAGAACGCGCTGCCGAAACACTTTCGCGCCTTCTTCGTCGCCACGGGGATGGTGCTCCTCGGTGTGGGCACGTTCGTTCGACCGGGAGCGGAGTCGAGGAAGGCGAAGAGGAGTCCCATGGTGCGGGGGGCGCTGGGTTTGCCTCCGGAGCGCGAGTCAGAGGGATGAACGCGAGAAGGCGTCCGAAGCGGGCGTCAACTGTATCAATCGATAATATGTAGTGCTACCTAGTCTTCGCTTTGACGCTCTGCGGCGTCCACCAATCCTCCGCGAGCACGACGACGCGATCGCCCGTGCAAAGTCTGAACTGCTGGTCCTTCCGCGGGGAGATTTGCAGCTCGCCATTGGCATGCATCACACCGACGGCGATTTCATCGCGGACACGAGCGCGCTCGCACAGTTCGCCCCAGTACAGATCGGTGTCGTTCACGGTGACGAATTCGTCGTGAGGACGCATGTATAACTCTTTACCTTCCTTCTCGAGCAAAAAGTCAAACATTCCGGCAAGCTTCAGGTTGGCAGAGACTTGAAGGAGCGTTCCGCCGATGAGGTTGTCGTGCAAAATGATGTCCACTGTTCCGATGCCTCGATACACATCTTCGGCGACTTGCTTGGCCACTTCACACGAGAGCTCGGTCACGAGGTGAGGAGCGTACGGTGTTGTCGAGTTCGTCACCAAGTGCGCGATCTGCATGACTGTAGCGAGCACGTGGCTGTCTTGCGTTGCGTCGCTGTCCTCACTGGTAGGCATTATCAGGATGGAGTCCGCTTCGTGTACTCTCTGACTCTTTAGCGTTGCCATTTTCTTCGCGTCCATTTTTACGTGTTTTACAGAGCAATACTTGCTCCCTTTTATCTCCTTTTTATCGATGTCATCATTCGCGATGATGGTGATGCTGGAACCTGGCGGCGCCAACACCAGCATGTCGTGGACAACTCCCGGACTCTCTTCATTCCAACCGATGACAAATAACTTCTTCGGTGATGGCATCTTGATGGGACACTTTTCCATTACGAGGTTCTGCGTTCCAGGCCGAGGTATCACACCTTCCTTGACTTTTCCTCTTCCCTTTGTCAAGTTACGTGCGATCTCAGATTTGTTCTCCGCGATGACAACGATCTCGCCACGCTCACCGATGATGGCATCGTCTTTCGGACCCAGAACCATGCCGTCTTCATTGACGATCCCCACGAGCGTCGCCGTGTTGAACAGTCTCCAAGCATCTTGGAATGTCATTCCCGCCAAGGACGGACTAGCGAACGTGTAAAATTCGGCGCTATCGTTAGATTGAAGCATGAGGTCTTCGAATAACTGATTGCCACCCGGTTGCATGGCTGAGAACGCCTTCAATCGCGACAGCTCAGATGTACCATTGACGAAGGCGTATTCCCCGTTTTTGTGACCCGGTCTATCGGTCAAGTCGATGGCGAGACTTGTCGAGTCATCGATCTCCTCCAAACGATGCGGTACCTGCACGATTACGTTCGGTCCAGTGCAAGTCGTGGATCGAAAGTTCTTCGCTCGAAGATTCAGTACCGCTGTCGCCTTTTGGCTTTCAATCGTCGCAGGGTCCGTGCTGCTACCGTCGTGTAAAACGATGACTCTCTCCGCCGACCATGCATTTACTCGATCCAAATCCTGTGAGTTGTGCGCCTGTCCCTGCCGCGTGACTACGGTGAGCGGCGGGCTGTCCGCGAGCTCATCTTGGATGACGTTATCCATCGTCTCTTTTTCCATGTCCGCCAACAAAACAACGGGCTTGTCGAAGCCGATCCCCTCCTGCTTGGCGACAGCAATTTGCTTCAACAGAGGAATCAGTTGATCGTTCCAATTCAAAATGACCGTGTGATTTTTCTCGTACACCTTGTGGTTACCGTTTCTCACCTCATCGACCTTGCTCGCGATTTCATCCGAAACGACGCCGATCAAAATCGCGAAGGTGAACATGCCACAGAAGACGATGAGTTGGGCAACCACCGTCGTCTTCAACGACTCCTCCGCGGTACTGTCCGCGCCCGGGACATCGTTGAGCCAATAATACGCGTTCGCGATGGCTTCGTTCCAATCACTGTCGCTCACGTGCTTGTACACGCTCGCCGCTGCGAGCACAAGTGGGACCATGGCTGTCATAATGATGAACACCTTGCCATACAAAGGCCATCCGAACACACGCTGGGCAACGTAAGTCCCGTTCGACTGCACGTTCGCCACCCGCTCCTTCATCGTGATTGACGGCGTCCCCGTCGTCGCCGTTGCTGGCATCTGACTCACTCTCGCCAGTCCTCCACCGAGCGCTCCGGCGACGACGCACGCTGTCGCCAACGCCGCAACCCGTCCCGCGCCTCGCGCGCCGCGTCCTCCCCCGCTCGCCTCCGCGCGTCCGAGCATCACGTCCATCGTCTCCTGAGATATCATCTTGCGCGGTTCAGTTGCCCTCTCGTCACCCTCGCGCGCCGTCGAGGCGACAATCGTCGTTCGTCGAAGTCGACGTTGATATGATTGCTGAATTTCCTGATTTCTAATTCTCCGAGCGCATTCGTTCGTCCCGGCGCGCGCACTCGAACGTTTAGAGCGACGCGCGCGCGATGATGTCAAGTTGACGATCGTGCGGGCGACGCACGCGGCGCGCATGACGACAGACCGGGAGACGCGCGAATCGGCCTATGCGGTTTATCGTTCGGAAAGAACAACGGTCTTTACATTTGGCTGCTTCTCACGGCGTCATGAGTCGTCGGATTCAGAGCGTCGTGCATAGTTTGATTCGTCTTTGTCGTCGCCATCTTCACGACCGCGGAGTAGAAGCTCAATCGCACGCCTGGCGGCGATCGCTCTAGGGTCGGTGTCGTCGGTAGAGGCGTCGCACTCGGCACGAAGCCTTGTGAGTCGAGCGGCTCGAGCGACTCGAGCGGTCTCGACGGCGAGCGCCTCGGCGCGTTCGAGCGCGGATGGGTCGACGCCGGAGGATGAACGCGATACATCGATCTCGTTTTGTATGGTTTTCATCTCCGTCGACGCGCATTGTGCGTCAAGGAAGCGCTTCTCCACCACAGCAAGTGACTTGGCGCGCTCGAGCTCAGAGATGCGCGCTGTGAGCGCAGCCTCTCTCTCGCTGGCGGCTTCCGCGCTGCGAACCTCATCCTTTACGCGCTGCAGATCGAGAGCGGCTTGTGCAGCTCGCTCGCGAGCGACGGTCTCACGCTCGATGTACATGCTGTCCAGCGCTTGCTCGCAATTGAGGAGCTTTTGCGACATTGCTGCAACATTGTCGCGAAGGTGCGTCATCTTGGCTTCAGTCTCGACCAATACCTTCTCGAGAGCGAGCTCGTGCGCATCCTTCGCGCGCGCCTCGACAGTGTCCTCGTTCGTATCCTCCTCATCCCATCGCTCCAGTTCGGTACGCGCCGCGTCCACCGTCGTGAACGCTCGCTCAATTTGCTTCGACAAATCTTCCCATTCGGCGCTCTTCGCCGCAAGCTCGGCTTCCTTTGTCTCAAGCTCGGCCTCTTTTTGCGCGAGCGCCGCGCGCATAGATTCAATTTCATCCCTCAATGCCTGAGTCGGAGGCAACAGTGATTCTTTGACTCGCGCGAGCTCTTCGGCTTTGCTCTTCAAGGCACTCATGGTTTCGCTTGAGGACAATACACTCACCTCCAATGCTGCCCTTCGAGCGACTCTCTGCTCCGCAGCGTCACGCGCCTCACGATCACGCGCTGACGTCTTCTTGTCCAATTCAAGGCGCTTCGAGTCTGCAAAAGACGCGACTTCATCAATTGTCGATCGACTCGCCGCGAGCCACGTTTTTAAGGCCGCAGCGGCTTCGTCAATTGTCGAGGCACATTCTTGCTCGGCGGCAAAGAGTTTTTCTTCTATCTCCTTGAAGGAAGTTCTAGCGCCCTCGATCGTCTCCTCGAGGCGCTGCGCCTGTTCATAATCATCATTTGCAACGGCAACCTCCTGTGTCCGCTTCAAATCCTCTATCTTCCCCAACAATTCGAACGCTTCGTCCGCGCAGTGCTTTCGCCTCGAAGTCGCCGCTGAGCCACGTGCTAGTGCGGAGTCGTATGCGAGCTTCGCGGGCTTCAGCCGCACATCACTCGCCTTCAAAAGCCTAGTAAGTTCGTCTGCGTCTCTGTCTTGGGCTAAATCGACCGCAGACGGAGTCAAATCTGGTTCGGCTTGCATCGCAACTGCAAACTCAAATGTGCCTTCATCGATGACTTCGTCGAATACCGGTGGCGACTCCATCGCCTCAGAAGCTCCCTGAAACAACCTGTCAAACTCAATATCAGCGACATTCTCTTTCCCGTCACCGAACACGTCACCGGCAACGTCTGGTCGCCACGAGCTATCCGGCGTCGACTCATCGCCTCCAAACAAGACGTGGGGCGAAATCAGAGTCATCGAACCGAGCGTCAGATTCCTAGCCTCCATTTCTGCCCTCGGTGCGCTGTCGTTCAGCGTCAATCCACTAAACAAATCTAAACCACCACTCTTCGACGTCATCGTCGCCTCGGACTCCTCTCTCCGCCCCGTGGGCGTCACCATTGCGTCCGCAAAAGCGCCTCGCGATAACCGTTCCACCGCTTCGTTCGCGAGCTCCTCCAAAGAATCCAAAGCTTCTCGCGCCTCCACCTCTCCGCTGAGCGCCAATTCTCGCACGCGCTCAATCAACCGTCGTCCCTCGTTCACCTTTGAGAACGCCAAGCCGTCAGCGTCCTCGCCGAGCGCGTCGACGAGAATGTTTGAGCACCGAGCGATTAACGCCCCGACCGATTCATCGCCCCTCGGCGACGTTCCTGAAGTACGCTGCGGCGTCAACGTCGCCTCAGAGCGCTCCGATGTCGCGCTTGACGAATCACCCGTTCGCGCGCCCGCGAAACGGCCGAACATACGCTCTCAAGGCCGTTGACGAGTGACGAAAGTTAGAAATCGTTTCGCCGAGTTCGTCACTCGAACGCGCTCGAGGGTCATGATTCGCGCGCGCGCGCTCTGCGCGAGCGGCCGAAGCGCGCTCAACGCTCTTGCGCGCGATTTAAAGTCGAATTCCAGGCTCGTGCAGGCGTCCAGCGCGAACGCGAGGACGAATTCGTCGTTCGATTTCGAGACCGTGGGCGCGGTCAGGCGACGACTCGGCGAGCTCGAGCGCCGCGTCGACAGCGCGCTGGAGATCGCCGACGTCAAGGGGTTAAAGATGAGGTTTGAGTCTCTGGACGAGCGCTCGTCCGCGGGAGATCTGTGGGAGGATGCGAATAAGGCGCGCGTCGTGATGGCTGAACTCGCGGGCGTCAGAGAGGAACTGGACGCCGCGCGCGCGTTTGAAGAGCACGTGAGCGATGCAAAGACGGCGTTGGAGCTCGCAGAGGTAGGTGAGAGCGATAATGAGATGAGTGAGATGCTTTGCGAGGCGATGGCGAGCGTGGAAGCCTTGGACGAGGCGTTAGAGCAGTGGGAGCTGAGACGGTTGCTGGGAGGGAAGTACGACGCGCTCGGCGCGGTGGTGCAAATTTACGCCGGAGCCGGGGGTTTAGACGCGCAAGATTGGACGGAGATGCTCGAGAGGATGTATATAGGGTGGTGCGAGAAACGAGGGTACGGCGTCCGCGTCACGGAGCGACAGGAGGGTGAGGGTGGGGGGTTGAAGACAGCCACACTCGAGGTCGACGGACGACACGCGTACGGGTATCTGAGCAGCGAAAAGGGTACGCACAGACTGGTGAGGCAGAGCCCGTTTAATAAGGACGCAGCGAGACAGACCAGTTTTGCCGCCGTGGATGTCATCCCGCTGTTACAGGATGAGGATGAGGTGAAGGTGCCTGAGGGTGACTTGGAAATCACGACCATGCGCTCGAGCGGCGCTGGAGGTCAAAATGTCAACAAGTTGGAGACTGCGGTGCGAATCAAGCACGTTCCCACCGGAATCTCGGTCAAAGCGGAAGAACATCGCACGCAGGCGCTGAACAGACAGGCGGCCATGCTGAGAATCAAGGCGAAGCTCACGGCTTTGGCTGAGGAAGCTCGCGTTGCCGACATCGCCGAGCTTCGAGGCGACATTGTCAAGGCTGAATGGGGTCAACAGATCCGTAACTACGTCTTGCATCCGTACAAAATGGTCAAAGACGTTCGTACCGGAGTCGAGACGAGTGACGTGACGCGTGTATTGAATGGTGGATTAGACGAGTACATGAATGGCTATTTGCGATGGAAGGCGAGTAAGAACGAGAGCGAGTAACTCTATTTCACAGTAATAATACAATACGTCGATAGATACCGTTAACCCCAGAACGAATCTACAGTCTTCGAAAGTTTTTCCTTGTGACCGCGACCGTGCTTCTCCTTGGAATGATTCACCTTGGGTGCACCAACTTTGTTGTTCTGTCTCGTGGCTTTGCGATTCTTCTCCAACTTCAATCGCTCGCGAATAGCTTGGGCCGCGGCGACAGGATCCACAGACAGCATGGAGGCTGTTTCTTCTTTAAGCCTCTTTTCAGCCGCCTTTCTTTCCTTCCTCAGTTCCTTCGTCGTCTTCGGCGCGTTGGAGTGTTTTGGGACGCGAGGTCGCTCGCCGCTCCCATCCGAGTCTGTCACGGAGGGCTCCTCAAACTTTCGATGATTGAATTGCTGCATGGGCACAACCTCCTGGTCATACGTGCCACGTTTGGTCATATCATCGTCACCATCCATCGCTGCTTGCACTTGCGCCGCGAGCGCGGCGATTTCTTCTTCATTCAGATTCATCTCGTACTCGGGTTCATCTGCTACCTCTTCCTCCACTTCCTCCCGTTCGTCCGCTTCATCGTCTGATTCGCTTTCATCCTCGCTCAATAGCTCAATATCTCGATCGGAACTCTCAGATCGACCATCTCCGAGCGCTTGTTCGTTATAGTCGTCCAGTTCTTTCATCTGTGTTCTCGTGAAGCCGCTGGCACGCAGCTGCACGTCAATTTGCTGAAGCCCGCTCGCCTCAGAGACGAGAGTCTTGAAATCGGGATCGGGCTCGCCGAGCGGATCGTCCTCCGCACGATAATCCCAGTGACGCACAAAAAAGCGGTGTAAGCACTCCACGTCTCTGATGAATAAATCTTCAGCGTTGTGATGACTCGTTGACACCATCTGAGGGAAATCGATGATGACCAGCTTCTTCTTATCGTTGAGCATCAAGTTGAACTCGTTGTAATCGCAGTGCACCAAACCGTGCTGCGCAAGCTTAGCAATATTCACCATGCACTCGCGATAGATCTCCCCTGGCTGCTCCGGGTTGCGCACCTGTCTCAGAGGCGCGCCGCGAACGACAGACATGAGCACGGCGTGTCTGTTGCAATCGATAGGCTCGGGCACAGGAAATCCGTACTCCCACAGCGCCACCATAAACTGATGTTCCTTCAACGCCGCGAGCCTAGAGAGATATAACCAGTTGTACGACGTCCGCCTCCCCAGGTAATCTCTCTTGCTCTTTACGTCTCTAAACGAGGTGCGTCCCAATCGATGCAACTTGAGTGCCATCGTGCGTCCGTCTTCGTCGACGACCTCGTACACATCCGACTCTTTCCCGACCCCAATCTTTCGCCCCACCCCACTGATCGTTCCTCTGTTCACGAACGCCTTGAGCGCTAAAAAATCGTATCCCAGCGGCGTTAACCGATACCCATCGTAGTCGCGATTCTCATGATGCACCAGCTTGTGCTTGAGCAGCTCCTTGATGTGTTTGTACCCGCCTCCTCGCTTCAACCCCGCGATGGCGTTGATGAGCTGCACCGGAACGATCTCGTGGTTCTTCATCCCCATCTCCGTCGCGACGAGGACGCGCCAGGTGTCCTTCTCGAGGTATCGCAAGACGTTGACGTCGAACTTCATCCTGGCGGCGGCGGCTGCTCGACGTACGACGCGCGCACGAGGGCTCTTACGTTCGCGCGACGACGATTCGACGAGCGGTGAGAGGTGGGCGATGCGTGTGCGCGCGCACTTAACCTCGGAGCGATTCGTCGCGCACGACGGTGAGAGAGCGGCGACGCGGTGTGTCGACAGCTCTGGGCGAAGAGTCTCGTACGGTGAGGTGATTGAAACAATAGTGCTGCGCGTGCGTGTTACAACATTTCACTCGATGAACGTCGTGATTGATTCGATAATAGCGGGATAGGTGCTTCGGGTCGCGCGTGTTAAACATTCTTGTACATTTGTGCACCTCACCGCACCCCGCGCATGAGACGGACGAGAGACTGTTGTCTGCTCGCCACCGTGGCTGAGAGGCTCGAGAGCCGAGCGTGGGTGGTGCCGTCAATCACAAGGGGCGGAGTGATGTGTAGACTGGGTCCTTCGCCAATGAGAAATTGAAGCAGGGTTTGCGCACGCCCGTAAATGTCGAGCGCGACCTGCTTGTTCTCCGCGAGTTCCTCCCGGACGCCGTCTTTTGCGAGTTTGCATACGTTCTCGTACACCAACTCCATTCCATCGGGGAGCTGAGCTTCCATGTCAAAACCAGCTGCGCGACAAGCGTCTGCGGCTTTCTCGGCGCGAGTGTGCGCCGCTTGATACGCTTCCTTGATTCTAACGGTAGCTTTTTTGGCGCTCATGGCCATCGAATTTCCTCCTGTGGGCGAACTATTCCCAGAGGATGCGCTCGCGCTCGTGCCGCTCAGATTGACGGAGGATTTTTGCTCAGTGGTGACGATCTCGGACGCGAGTCTGTGCGCTGAGCGCAGCGCCGCCAGGGACACTAAGCCCAATGAAAGTGCTGCGAGCTTGTTTCCCACGTTCCAGTGCTCCGTGGAGGTGTCACGCAGTACGACAGCTGCCTTTTCGAGCACACCCACTCGAACTCCGAGTTGAGTAACGAGCATTTGCGACTGCGTTTGATATCGCGTTGCGAGTGTCATCGGTTGACTGGAAGGCGACGTCCCTCTAGACATTCTCGCACGACCACCAAACGTACCCGGCGACCCATCGTTTGGACTCAACGACATACGAGACAGCGGCGAGGAACCGAGCGAGGGAGGTCGCATCGATCTCGGAATGCTCGTACCCGGAGATGAAACCAGGACATAATCCGAGGCGATGCTCATCTTCCCTGAAGCGCTTGACTGTCTACTCAACATCGGTACCGGTTGACTGATAGTTCGTTCTTGCGGCTGCCCATTGACTCGCGTCGTCGACGTCGGCGATGGACTATTGCTCTCGACGTCCATGTTGAACGGCATTGTCTCGCTGTCGGCACTGCTCGCTCCGTCTGACTCCTGAGCTTGAGATTTTGTGGCACCAGACTTGGATGGAATACCAACGCCGACGGTGTCTCCACTCTTCAAGAACGGATGATTGAAAAAGTCCTCGAACGAAATTCGATCATTAGCGTTGCGATGGAGCAAGCCGCGCAAGAGATCGATGCACGCGGGAGATAAGTCCTCCGCGATGTGAATCGGAATCTTGAACTCCGTCTTCTGGATGTTTCGCAGGAGTTGGACCTGATTCTGTCCCGTAAAAGGCACTGTGCCAACGAGCATCTCGAACAAGATCGCGCCCACGCTCCACAAGTCTGCCTTGGCGTCGTACTTTTGATAATTCAAAACTTCAGGTGCCATGTACAGCGGGCTCCCGCACACGGTATCTGCCATTCCCTCGCTGTCTCGAATGTACCGCGCGAACCCGAAATCAGCAATCTTTAATTCCGCGTTCAAATCGTTCGACGTCAGCAACAAATTTTGCGGCTTCAGGTCTCGATGGACGAGCTGCGCCTTGCGCATCGCCTTGAGTCCCCTCGCCAGTTGCAGCATGAAACGTCTCGCCGAGGTCTCATTCATTCTCCCGTTCCGTCGGATGAACTGGCTCAGATCGCCCCCCGCGCAGTACTCCAACACGATGTACACCGTCTCCCCCTCGTTCGCCATGTCGATGAATCGCAGGATGTTCTCCTCCCGCATCCTTCGCATGACCTCCACCTCGAGCCGTAAGCTCTCCTTGAGCTTGCGACTCAGACGCTCGCAATCGATCTCCTTCACCGCGACCACCGCACCGGTCTTCGCGCACGTCGCTCGCCACACCGTCGCGAACGACCCCCTCCCCAGCTTCTCCCTCAGCTCCCATCGTCCACCCGCGACGACCGGCGCGCGCCCGTCCGCGTCCGTCCCCCCCCCGCGCGCCGTCTCGCGCGTCCCGCGCCC